TGTGTTTTTTGGCTTCAATCTAAAACATTTCAACCAGTACATAGACCAAGAACTGTCAGAGGTTCAGGCTGGGTTTAGAAGAGATCCATAGCACAGGAATATCACCACTGATACCACATAGATCCTCGCTGAAAACAAAGAATACCAAAAGAATATCTATTTATGCTTTATTGACTAGGCAAAGGCATTTGACCATAAATTATATGAGTGGATCATAAATTATGGCTAACATTAATGGGGACTGGGAATCCCAGAGCAGTTAATTGTGCTCATATAAAACGTATACCTAGAACAGGAGGCTGTTGTTGAAACAGCAACAGAACACTATATGCTTTAAAATTAAGAAAGGTATGTGTCAGGGTTGTATTTTTTCTCCATACCTATTCTATAATCTATATGCTGAGGAAATCTTTCAAGAACCTGCATTCTGTGAAGAAGAATGTAGTATCAGGCTTGTAGGAAAATTCATCAGTAACCTATATTATCCAGAAGACACACCTTGCTCCTCACTGAAAGTGAGGAGAATTGAAATACTTGTTGCAGAAGCTCAAATATTACAATCTTAAATACAGAGTTTCAACATCAAGAAAATACAAGTTCTCATCACTGGATCAATAGGCAGCATGATAGTTGGAGAAAATATTGAAATTGTCGACAAATTCTTTTACTTGGCTACACAATCAACACTTTGGTATCAGCAGTAGGGATCAGGAGACATGTTGCTTTGGGAAAGGCTGCACAGAACTCTCTAAATTACTGAGGAGTAAGAATGTCCGTTTAAAGACTAACGTGTGTCTGATTCAGGCCATGATTTTTTTAATGACTTGCTTTGCATCTGAGAGCTGGACTATTAATAAGGATGACAGAAGACATATTGATCCCTTTGAGCTCTGTTTTTGGAGAAGAGTAATGAATATCTCAAGGACTGCCAAAAAAAAAAGAACAGATATGTTTTAAAGAAAGTACAGTCAGAGTGTTCTTTGAAGGCAAAGATGACAAAGCTTTGTCTTACATACTTTGGGCATGTTCTTAGAAGAGGCAATTCCTTAAAGAGTGACCTAATGCTTAGAAAGTTGGAAGATTAGTCAAAGAGAGGAACATCCTTGACCAGATAGATTGATACTGCTTCAATGGACTCCAGAGTGTCAGAAATGAGCAAGATGGTACAAAATAGTACAGTGTTCAGATCTGTTGAGCATAGAGTCACTATGAGTTGTACTCGACTCAGAGACACCTAAGAACAACAAAAACAAATTGGCTGAGCGTTGACTATTTTATGGTTCAATGACTCGGAAGCTTTTCACTTTCTTTTGCTAATTTTTATATCAATGTATTTTTCTGCTTCAGTATTTTGCTTATAGAATTCTTCAGTCAGTTCTTTAAACTTATGTGCGAAGTGGGTTCTTTCATTTTGATTTTCGAATTCCATGGTTTCCCACATTTTGTTGTAATTGTCTGTTTTGTCTTCCTGAGGTGCCCTTTGAAATTTTTGTTCAGCTTTCTTCATCTTTTCCTCCATTCTCTTATTGTTATTGCTATAGTTAGGTGCCATTGAGTTAACTATGATTTATAGAGACTCTATGAACAACATTCTGAACCTTGTCCTGTCATGCACCAGCCTCACGATCCCTGATCTGGTAGAGCCCGTTATTACTGTCACTGTATCCTTCCATCGTGTTGAGGGTCTTCCTTTCTTTTTCTACCTTTCCCGACATGAGTCACATTCACTTCAGGTTCTTTAGATTCTAAGCTAAGTGTTAGAGTCTTTTCTGACAGTATATCCTGTTTTTGTAATTTCTTTTCTCCATTTTTAATGACTTTTTTTGGTTTTTTTCATGTATTATATCCTTGATATCATCCTCTAACCCCTTTAGTTTTTTATTATTGGAGTTCTGTGCATCAAATCTATTCTTTAGACGATCTTTGGAACCAAGTGAGATATATTCAAAGTCATATAATCTAGGTTCACATAGGTTCATACTTAGGTTCATATAAACTTGTTTTTATTTTCTTCTACTTGAACGTGCATATGAGCAATTGATGGTCTGTTCTACAGTTGGCCCTGACTGTCTTCTAATTCAGTCAGAATATGAAGTTTCTCTTCCATTTCTTTCCCACACAAATGAATTCTGTGATTTCCATCTGGCAACACTTATTTGTATGGCCACTGTTTATAGGAAGACATTTTTTAGGGGGAGGTGGGCTCTAGGGAGGACTACTGCAGAGAGCTGCATTGCTAACAGGCCTTGCCTGTCTGACAGTTTGAATCCACTAGTGACTGCTCTGTAGAAATATAGGCAATTTTCCTTCCATGTGATTTAAGCTTCAGAAGGCTGCTGGAGGGTTATCTCTGAGTTGATTCTAACTCAAAGACAGTAAGCTTTGTGGCTTTTTAAAAAGAGTCACTTGCAGTAAATAAGAATTATTATTAATCCTCTTGCCCATCTTAGAGTGAAACATAGTATAGGTACACTGCTGTTCAAACAAGGACTGGTGGAACTAGGGTAAAAGTGTTCACAAGTTTAGAAATTACTATAATGTTAAAAAGCTGTGCAACAGTCCCAAAGGCACACAGTTCAAGACTACAAGATGCTCCGCAGGAGAAGGATGAGCTCTCTCTTCCCGTGTGATTATCTGCCTCTGAAAACCTGTTGGAGGGTCAGCTATGGGTCAGTTCCAACTCAATAATACACAACAGCAACAACATTTATGTAGAAATAATTAAAAATTACTCTAGACTATAAAGTTAAAAGTACAAGTGTTAGCGCTCCCAGTCACTGGTTCTATTTGCAGACAACCATATCCGGTTTCCTCTCCATCCTTCCAGAAAGTTATACTTTCCATAATGTGTGCGTGTGCGTGTGTGCGTGTGTGTGTGTGAAAGAGAGAGAGATATGCACAACTTCCTCTTTCCTCATTAACCAAATAACACTTCATCTAAACATTAAAAATTTACTCTTAAAAAAAATTCACTCTTGCTCTATTTATCTACCAATACGTTTTTCTGTATTATTATGCATCTTGTGTCTGATGTGCTTTTTAATTGTCACACAGAGAAGGATGCTATTTCAGTGGTTAAATATTATTGATTAATATTTTAATTTTTTAATAGCTATGTGAAGTAAGGTATTTGTGTTCTGTTAAAGACTAGTCACGTGGAACTAGTGGAAATAAATACATTTTTAAAATTATTTGTTTTACGTTTATTTCTAATAATAAATTCTCTATCAGTTATTCTTCTATATTTATTCCTGGCTATCCATCTTATTAAAATCCTATTTTCTTTACAATTTTAGCTCAGTGGTATGATCTATGCAGATTTGTGCTACTAGCTGCTGGCTGGAATTCACCAACGTCTCTGAGGGAGAAACGTGGACAATCTCCTGGGTGGAGGCATGGCCTCCAAAATCCTGCTGGAGTGTTCACTGTGAGTGAACTGGGACAGGCAATGAGTAGTAGCGATATACTAGGCTGCTCTCAGAGCAAGCTTTCCATCTTTGCCTAACATCTGACTTCTCATGTCCACGTGGGACTGAAAGATTAGAAGCAGTTCTTGGCTTCTCTTCCTTCCTTATGTCCTTACACATCCCAGCCTGCACACATGCACCACAGATAGGCTCTGGGCTTTAAGTCACAGGCGCATCCTGTTCACCTCACCTTTTTTTCCCTGTGGTGTGCTCAGAACATTAAACCACAGACCTCATAAAATAAATACCAACTCCAAACAAACACTTTGCAGTTCAGTTCATTCTGACTAATAATTCCTCTACAAGATGGAGTTTAACTGTCCACAAGGTCTTGAAGGCTGTAGCATCATAGGAGACTGCCCAGTGTCATAGGCTGTCCTGTAGTGTCAGAGGAGCAGACTTGCCTTCCCGCTACAGAGACGCTGCTCGCTTCCAGCCTCAGACCATCTGATTAGCTGTGTAGGACTTAATGTGCCACCAGGCTCTTAGAACATACACTGCAGGGAAAGGATGGGCCATCTTCTCATGGGTGACTTACTGCCTCAGAAAACCTACTGCAGGGTCAGCTGCTCACTTGTTTGTTAGCCCCTTTCTAGCTCATAGAACAGAGATCAGTTCTCAAGAGTTTTAAACCCCTTAAGACGACAGCTGCTGACTATGATTAGTGCCACGTTGTAGCCTACCTAGAGAAAGCACAGAACATCACTGTATCTTGTAGAGAAGTTTAATGAAGAACAGAGCTGATTTTCAGGTGCTGCTTTCTGAAGATTTTAAATGGGCCACTCGACTGGTCTCACTGATTGCACTGTAAAGTGAAAGGTGTTAAACTCAGTATTACAGGCTTTCATTCTGTCATGAGCTATTGCTGACCAAGCTGCAGAGGAAATGCAAGACCGCGATAAACACAAGGATGTACACGATGACCACAGTGGAGGATCCCTTTAATGGTTGTAGGTGTACACACACACACACACACACACACACACACACACACATACACACACCATACACCCTTCTTTAGTCCATACTACTACCCTTGCGGACAGATAAGAGTGCAAGCATATTCTTTCAGGCCTCGAATTCCATTTCTGCAAGGCGTATGGCTGGAACTTCTCTGTCATCATTGCTGTGGGCTCAAATGAAGGCCTTGTCATCAGTGTGGGGGCCGGAAAGCACTGGAGCACCGCAGTATTGAGGGCAACTGAATTCCTCCTCTGTCACTGAGGGCAAGGGAACCGGGAGGCAGCGCCCAGCCCCCTGCGGCTCGACTCGCCATTGGTCGCGACGAGGTGGCAATCAGGGCGGGCCCAAGCGACTGCGCTCGCCCTGCTCGGTGCTGCCGCCGCGGTCCGCTTACGCTGTTGCCGCTGCAGCAGCCGCCTGGGTCCCCTTGACCGCTGCCTCTGAAAGGGGGCTGCCTCCCGGGCTCGGGGCGCAAACATCATGGTGAGTCCTTAGAACCCGTCAGGCAGAATTTCCCACCATGGCCAGGCCCGGCCTGTCTGACCCGAGCGGGAGAAGGCGTGCGCCGCGCGCCCGAGCCTGGAGCGGAGGCTTGGGGAGGAGCGCGCACCGCCGGCACCGGGCAGCCTCGCTGTTTGGCTTAGCGGAGGGCAGGGGAGGTGGCAACGCTCGGGGTCGCGGCAGGGGCAGCCTGTGCCCTTCCTAGCCAGGAGGGGTTTCCGCACAGATCCGTAGCTTCCAGAGTTTGGGAAAAGAAGGTTCGTTCGGGGAGTGGGGTCTACCTTGCTCTGACCTGGCCCGGTCGGCGTCGCGGGGGAGGTGTCCAGGGAGGGTCCCCTGTAACCGCGCGGTTCCGGATGCCCAATCGTCCAATGAGCGGCGAGAGGTGAGCTGGCTAAGAGGTGTCATTGGGGTGAGGAGGGGTGAGATGAGGGATCTGCTCGGATTGTGAGGAGGTGGGAGGTGGGCTGTTTATGTCCCTAGATCCACTCTTTCTGGCTTTAAGCACTTGCAGTATAGCAAAGCCAGAGAGACCGGGTTAGAAGATTAAACCAGGGCAGTGGAAGAAGAGGCTAGCAGCGTCACCCCATCACCTTCTCCCAGCACCGGTCCTTGACGCTCAGGTTTCCCCCTCTTGTCCCCGCAGTATGGATTTGTGAATCACGCCCTGGAGCTGCTGGTAATCCGCAATTACGGCCCCGAGGTGTGGGAAGACATCAAGTAAGTGACTGAGGCCGAGAGTGGACACTCTGGGGGCGGGCGCGGGTCCCCCCATCTCGCTTCACCCCCGTCAACCCCCACCCCTAGCGACGACTGCGCGCATCCTCGGAGATGCCTTGGCCCTTGGGCTCGGCCACAGCTGTGCTCCCACGCTCTGGAGCGGCCTGGGAGGGGAGGCCTGGGCGGGACTGGAACGCGAGAGCCAGGCAAGCAGCCCCTTGGGGTCACCAAGGCCTCCAGACCTGGCCTGAGCGTGGGAACGCGCTGCCAGCGCCCCAGCGGCTCCCAGGCTCTACTGCGTCCCCGCCTGGTAGCTCTCACGCAGAGATGGGCCCAGGGGACCACGCAGGCCTCTGCGAGGGTCATGATCCCCAGGACCTAGAAACGAAAGGAGTACCTTGACTCCTTGAAAATTTAGCATACTTTGCACGCACACCAAATAGACACGCTTTTGTTTGCTGAAACGGTTTTCTTAAAACACTTCTCTTTAGACGAGGTTATCTATTTAACCTGAAATGAAGTGAAATCAGAATAAATGCTTTCATTTCCCCCAAACTCTTATTGTGCATTTTACTGTGCTGAAAGCTGGCAGTTCAAGGGGTGTATCCTAGTTTCAATATGAACTCTGAATCCCAAAGCTGAGTACTGTACTTTGGCTGTGGACGGAAATACCACACCCACCTGGGAGTTAAAGCCTGTTGGAGTGATAGGTCAGCCCTTGGGACACCCGAAGCATAATTATGCAACAGAATCCTCCTTGTCACTTCTCATGATCACGATGGTGGAATTTTCGTGTTACTTACTGTGTATTGGACCACTATCAGGTAGGTATACCGAAGTGATGTTTTGATCTTAATTACAGCGTTTAAGTGGAGTGCGAAGGAAGGGTAATTTTCAGGGCAAATGAGACCACGTTGGTAAGGTTTCCTCCGACTTCTTGTGCTCACTGACTTCATTTTTTATACAAATTAGCTAATACTACCATGCCATTTTCTTACATATACAGTTGTTAGCAATTAGTTTCAGTAGGCCTTATTATGGAGTTATATCAGAGTGGTTTTACCCCCCAGTGTTTAATGGAAATGACCTTTCACTTTTGCAAAGCAAGCTCTTTCTTCCCATCGAAGCTGTGTCATTAAGCATACTCTCATGTTCTGTAAGCCTTTTATTTTACCTACAGGACACATCTGAAAAGGAGAAAGATTTGGCAATTACGTATGTTGCTTATTGCCAGCTGAGTCTGGAGCTGACTCATAACTGACCCTCCAGAGGGTTTTTGTAGGCTGTAAATTGCATGAGAGGCAATTACACATTTTTCTCCAGAGGAGCTACTGGTGGAATCAAACCAGCTGCCTTTAGGTTAGCAGTACAGCTCCCAGTGGACTATGCCACCAGAGTATTTGAGCCAAATGAACAGTCTAAGCATTGACGATTATTTGAGGATTTCAATTTTTTACCCCACCTTATTAATACTTCCTTAATTTTTTATTTTGGTAGTTAAGAGTACAAAGATGACTGACATTAAGAGCAATATTTTAAACAATATTAACTTAAGTATAAAGTTTTTTAAGCTACTACATGAATTTTTGAAGTAAAGATATCTAGTAGGATGTATTCTCATAGGTGAAATAGACATTGTCAGATTTATTGCTGTAAGTACTATGATTAATATGTTTAGAGTGTTGACAGTCTAATAAATGGTGGTTATGATGGCCTAGTGGTAGGGAGCTGCACTAACCCAAAAGCATGTGGTTTGAATTTGCCTGATGCTCTGCAGGAGAAAGATGGGCATTCTCCTCCTGTGATTTACAGTTTCCAAGAACTCACTGGAGGATCAGTTTTGAGTTAGTTCTGATTCTATAGCACAAAACAACACCAGCATGGAGACAGTGGTGGTTCATTGATAGGATTCTTGCCATTTCATGTAGAAGATGTGGCTCCTTTCCCATCCAAACATCTAAGAACAGCCTCACTAGTGGGCTAATGGAGCAGGGTGTGTGGGGATGCTTATGTGTTGAGATCCTCTTAAAGAGGTTATAGCTGAACTACAGGCCAGGTAAATCAAGCAGGGGAAATCCTACTGATTCCACAAGCCCAATCCCTTCATGCATGGGATCTCTGGGTCAGCTGCTGCCTTGAAGCAGCTAACAACAACAGCAACTTTGTAGTTAAATAATCATGTAATTAAACAAGATTAAGAATCTGTGCTCTACCAATTTCCCATCGAGATCACTGTCAAATGCAGAGATAAAAACATGTTCTTTCTTGAGGAATGCATCTGAAGTTTAAAAAAGACATTATCAAGATATTTGTTTATATTGGCCATATTCTTCTGAGAACAAAATAATGTAAAAATGTTCAAATTCCATTGATGACAACTTATCTCTCCAAATCATGCTATGAATATTGTTACATCTTTTTAAAAATCATTAATTTTAAATGAAACGTCTGTATTTTAAGACTCATTAAAACCGTTCATTAGTTTCAAAGAGTACCCCTAATCTATTAAAGTGGTAGTGATTCAAATTACAAAAAAAACATTTTCCCACAAGTAAAATCAAGCATAACATATAGGTTTCCTTCTTTTTTTAAAAAATAACTTTTTTCTATTTTTTAAAAAAATTATTTTCATGAACATTTACAGAGATTTTTTATTTCCATTCATTCATTGTTGCATTTTTCTCCCTGCCCACTCCTCCCTCCACCACCCCTTCACTATTCTCTTTGAAAAGGAAAAGAAAAATTCCTTCATTGGTGTACAATCCCTCCCTCACCCAGTACACTCCACTATGCAATCTTCATTCTGGACTCTTGTCATAACCATAATACTCAATCATATATCGCTTTTAAACTGTTCTCTTCTTCATCTGTTTCAATGCAGTATACATAATTTATCCAGTGTTTTTTTTTTTCAGTCTTACCCTAACCCTGATTTCAGTCCCATTCTACAACAGTGGCATTATACAGTACTTGTCTTTTTGTGACTGAAATATTTCACTCAGCATAATGTCATCCAAGGTCATCCATTTTGAATATTACTGCATGAGTTCCTTGAGGTCTCCTTCTAAAAAATTTACTCAAAGATTATATACTCTGAAAGGGAAATGTTGTTATGGTAAGGCTCCAAAGACCTAGTTGTAGTTATGTGGAAATCAGAGTTATATGAAAAGGGAGGATGACCATATCACGTTGCAAAATTGAGGATAACTACATTGTTAAATAACTGTTGAACCACTGAGAACTTGGTCTAGCCAAGGTGAAACCTAACTTTAACCTTCATAGTCATTGTTACTCTTATCTCCTTCCTTGGCCATTGTAACTGCCAGACATGCATTGTTAATATGAAAAATAGTAGGAGAGTAGATTTCCCCCCTCTGTTTTTGTAAATGCAGAATGTTTGGTAACAAGATAGTTGATAAGTGAGGACAGAGTGTAGTTAATGAATATTTGTGCTAGTTTTTGGCATGGCTTTAACTAAGTCTGTGGGTGTTTCTCACCTTTTCTTGGGCACAGGTTAGTGGTTTTGATCAATAATATGGCTTAGCTCCCTGCATTTCAAGAGTTGAAGTAGATAATTGGTTTTTTACACTGAACCTATGGAGGATTATTGCAAGTTCACAGAAGAACATGCTGAGATTACTACAGCAGAGATTCTCATTGATTTTGAGCAGAAAGTAGTGGAGGAAATGAAAATGTTTGAAGGTTCATTCTCATCCCTCTTCTCAACCACAGCCTCGTCTCTGGGGAGATCACTGCAAAGATATCCATGATATTTTCAATTCAACTTTGTATGAGAAAAATCACATTAATGGAGAATTTTTATTTGAAGGGATGGGTTTCAGTAAGAACCAGACTCTTCTTTCTTCCTTTTTGGCTTATGAGAAACTACCTAAAAAATATTCGTACATTTTATATAATACTTTATTATTTGGTAGGAAATGGCTGTCTATCCTTCATGAGAAAGGATGCCAAACATTTAATGACAAATAAAACCCTAAGTAACAGAATCCAGACCAAAAATTCTAAGTGGGTAAGAGCCAAAAATGCTCAACTGTAAACTCAGTATCCACTTACACTCTCACCAACAGTATAACCATTTCACAAGATTCTAAATTCCTCTTTTTAAGAAAAATTGTCTGGCGCAGGCATTGGGAAACATTTCCTAAAGGGCTAATTGTCTAGTGCAGGCATTGAAAACCATTTCCTAAAGGTCTCCCGCTAAAACACACACACACACACACACACACACACACACACACACACACACACACACACACACACACCCCGCACATATGGTCCTCAAAATTCTTGCCTCCGGAAACTCAATGAACTTGGAGAAAAAATGAAAGTTTTGTGTTCAAGACTTTCATTCATAGGGTCGCTATGGGTCATCTATGACTCGACAGCACTTAACAAGAAGTCACTTATGACTCAAAGTAACCTTATAGGACAAAGCAGAACTGCCCCATTAGATTTCAGAGGCTGAAACCTTTACGGGAGCAGACTATTTTTCTCTTGCAGAGCAGTTGATAGGTGTGATCTGCAGTTAGCAGCCCAGGGATTAGCTCATGGTGTGGTTTTAAATATTTTAAGTGCAGTAGGCGAAGAGTTAAATTAAAGCCCCATAATATTAAAAGATAACTCATGAGATAACCTTGAGTCACAATCTACTCAACCACATAAAACAATACCAAGCATGTAGTAACTGTTCTCAGGAGACCACAAGTCAGAAGCAAGCAGTTGTCTGGATTGAACCAGTCACCTACAGTGTGCTGACCTCCTATCATATCAAAAGTGAGAGAGAGTGGAACCTACTTCAGATCTTGTTTCATTGGCTTCCTTCCAGTCTGTAGGTGTGCTTTCAAGAAGCCATGGCTTTTCTTATCCTAGATGATATGGAAAGCAAATCATCAATTTAGATTATTAAAAACATACCTATATTTTTTATTTAATCATTTTTGTTATTCTTACATCATTTCTGACTAGACAAATTATTGTCT